TAGTTAATTTAGGAGGCACTGTGGGGGATTATGAAGCACAGACAGGCCTTTAATTTCCCTTTATAAGGAAAAAAAGAAAGAAATGCATTTATCCCTCCATTCTCGGTAGCCAAACCAGTTTAAAGCCACGCGTAGCTCAAAGGGAAAAAGCCACCAATCTGAGACCGACTTACCCAGTATCCTGTGAGCGTGGGGAGCAGAGAGGGGGGAAAGGCCCTCTCCTCCCGATGTTTCGACTTTCGGCTCTGCCCTCTGCCCGCGGCCTGCCTTCCCCCGGGATCACATGGAAGTGTTCTATAAATGTGCACTGGCTTAAGGTTGGGAACACTGGCCTGGGAGGCAGCAGCGTGTAAGCAATCTGACCCAGGCCAGGCGGCAGCTTTCCAGAAGGCTCTGCAGCCCAGAGGGAGGATTACAGAGGGCAGAGAGCTTGCAGGTACTGAGAGCCTGCAGCTCTGTTTTTTCAGAGTTTATTTGGGATACGAAGCCGGTTTCAGCTGCCTTGGGCTGCAATTTACTAGGGGAAAGTTCTAAATTTCGACTCGGACCAGTCACTTTTCAAAACAAAGCAGCCTTAAAAAAATTGAAAAGCTGTAAAATTAGAAGTGCTTCTGATAAACAGAGACAGGTCATTGTCAGCTTCGACCAACCTCTGAGAATCAAGTTGTCCTTTTTGAAAATGTCACTATGTTCCCTTGAGAAAGGGAGAATGAGCAATTATTGTTAGGCTAATTCTAAATGGCAAAGCTACCTAAAATTCCATCGGTATTTAATGAATTAAATGTGAAACCATAAAATTGAAAACTAAGCAACTATTTGAAAGGACGTCAGGATCTTTATGTGCCAACACTGAAAACTCTCCAAGATACATCATTAAGTGAAAAAAAATTAAGGTACAGAACAGCGTGTATAATATGCTACCATTTTGTGTAAGAAAAAAAGGTATAAATTCCCGTGTGTGTACTACATTATGTATAATATGTGAATCTTATGCTCTAAAAAGTCATATTATAATATATAAATTAATGACTCTTACTGGAAATGTACATA